ATTCTTATTGTTTCTAGTCATTTTCAAGTAGTTGCTATAGTTACTTTTGTTTCTTGTTCTCTCACCCTATTGTCTTCATATTCAAACTCATCTGGGGATTTGAAGAGGAGCTTGAATTGGAAAGGTATAAAAGGGAGAGAAATTTGGGTAGCTAGAAAAAAGATAGTATCATTCAGAATCAGCACAACTCAGTCTCAGTCAGTAGCACTACTGGTAGCCGTACCAGTCTTGCAATCGATTATCTCTTACTCGGATTTCTACGACGACTCTCTACATTGAGGGGGAAATTCCTAGTCTGAGACACGCCTGTTGAAGTCTATACGTTTGACTTCAATATCTTTACTCTTATACACATCCTCTGCTAGACTCTGGTAGTCAGCTTTCATTTTTTTCTTTGCTGATAGTTTGAACAACTCAGAATCAGTCTCTCAATCGAACGAAAGGGAACTGCTCGATTAACGATATATCCAGCATTCTCTTGGTATTTGTTTCCTAGTCTACCTAGCAGGTTCTGGGTATTTTAAATCTAGGCAGCAAAACTAACCGACAACGCATTCCAGATCTCCCGTGGGGTCTTATGTTTAGGAGCGGCTATGTTATTGTTGCTGTCAGACATGGTGATGGGCGTTGATGGAATCGGTTGAAGCCAATGGCTACAGGTACTGAGCGAAAGGACAACAAAGTCTCAGAAGATGAGTGGTAGCGAGATTGAGATCTCGAGAAAACACAAAAAACACGAAAAATATGCCGTCGTTGAGCCAAGCAGAATGCGTACAGAAAAGGGGATGCGCATGCGCTGAGCAGAATCGGGAAAGCCACGTGTGCGAAATGTGCTCAGCGCGTGGGAGGTCTCCCATACCTCCTTAGCTTGGCTCGAGAGGAGAGTGAGATTGGAATCGGGAACATGGACCTATCTCTGTGGGTGTTCAAAACTGGTGTCCTGGGTCCTGACCCGCGAAGTTTGCAGCACTCTCGACGAAAGTTTGTAAGGGTACCGCACCGTACAATATTTGCCCATTTTTAATACCTCAGGACGTGTTTTTTAAGTGCAAAGATTTTTACTGAACAAGTAGTTCATTTTTTTGAGTGTCATGGAATACATGCAACAAGGAAGATTGAGAGCGTGCATTTCACGAGACGTGTCATGTGACCGAACGCGCCAGTAATTGCTGGTGATTGTGCGCTCGCGTTCTACAGGGATGTGGGCATATACCCTTCTGTATACTGAGCTCATTACACTGCTTAATGTTCTAGAAACTGGGGTTGCTCTAGTACTGTAACACCACTCTCATTGATGTCCGAAACTGGCCTTCCGGCTCCCACCTTCACTGATAGCTGCCTGGATGATGGGGACACACGGCAACTAGGGGAATCAGCATTCAACTGGGCTTTCTATGGGACTCCAGAGCAGTACACGACTGATGAAGTCCAATCTCACTCAAGCTTGCTTTTTGGGGCAGAGGAGAGGAGCTTAGGCTTGGGATCCCACTGGATGGGATTCCGCCGAAGTTAGAGTTGCCTTCGGTGTCAGAATCTGCTGCTCACAGTCCAACAACATCCTCATCTCATTCCGGTAAACATGCTCGTGGTGCAGCTCAGACTGCAACAGAGAAGCCCCCATCGAAGAAGGTGAAGACTCACAGGGGTTGTATGAAATGTATAGACATGTTCAGCTTGTATCCGACTAGTTTACATGATTGTATCATTAACATTGAACACTGAGTAGCGGGAGGCGTCCGAGATGCATCTCTGTATACAGTCCGTACTACTTAATTGACACATCGTGGATGTGGCGTGAGGGATCTCGATGAACCAGAAACAAATAAATTGCTTTCTTCTGCCGCTGTCCGGCAGATCCAAATAAGGAAGGACGGTATTGTTCAAACCAGTTTCCAAGGGCCATGAAAAGTTGGAGGTCAGTGTCGATACAGTGCTTTGCATATGAAGCCGGAAAGCGCGTCTCGCAAAATGTTATTTGTCTCTGTTTGTCCCGCCAACGCCAACCTATAAGGGGCACTCGATGACGGCAAGTTGGGTGCGCCAGGCATACCCTACCGGAACCATAACACATGAAAAACTCATAACATATGTAACCAACGACACTGTAGCGTACATGAGCTTTGTTTATCCCAAAAAAGCTCTGAAAGAAGTCACAACCGCGGTCGGGCACAAAGCAGCCTGCCGTGAGTCGGTGATGGAAATACCCCATATAGGTTTATTTGGTCCAGCCAAACAATATTTTGCAAAACGTGTTTTCCAGCTTCTTATGCAAAGCACTGTAATTATACTTTCGCACTCCTCTTGGCTTGGCTCGACATAAGTCCAAGCCGTTCGTCCCTCACGTCAGACTTATGCACCAGAACTGCGCTTGCTGCCTGCGGTGGCTGAAGACCGCATAACTCGTCGTGAACATCTTGCTCTCTCCTGCTATGGTTTAGCTTCATCTCATTCTGCTGATTTGCCTTCACTCTCTCGTGCCCTAATCAAATCCTGGCGCTTTCTCGAAATTAGGTTATCTCATTAGTACTGGGTTCCAGAAGCAGGTGAGTTGTCTTCATCTTCATTCCTCCCAATCTCAGTGCAATCTTCTGATGCTGCTTCTGTAAGCTATATACCACTTTTCCAGATGTTTGTAATGTTTTGGAGCTTTGTTGTTATCCATGGCAGTCTGGTGTGTCTTTCTAAGCACTCTGTTACTCATTCTATTATGTAGATTCATTCTGTCTTCCAGAAGATGAATATGCCTCATGTATAGCGGCATAATGTTAAGGTCGCCTTTTTAAAACATAGATCCCAGGCTGCATTAGCTTGAAGCAGCCCCGAACACCTTGTGCTATCCAGGCATTCCAATTCTGCTAGTCCCTCATATGCACCAAGGTAAAGTAGTAATCATCACAGCTGCATGCTAAGACTCTGAGATGCACAATATGTGCTGATTTGGTACCATTTTAGGCTGCCGGGACTGCTCCATCAACCTATTTCCCCCGCCTCTTCCCCACCTAGTAAGTGCATGTTTCCCTTTAACCTGTATGCTTTGTTGGCGGTCTAAGATGCTATCCAGCATATAACTACCCTGATGGTATTCCACCGGTATATCCAGGTAGATGCGCGTTTACTACTAGTAGCATCTATATTTTATTCTCTCAAGTGCCACTCTTGCCACATGCGTATATTCGCGCTGATTCCTATCTTAGACGTACAATACTCTGTCTAAAGTTCTATATTGACGTTCCAAATATAATCTGATTTATCCATGAATTTAGCGAATTTAACTGGTCTCGTATACAACACGCTGCTCCGCCATCGCCATCAACAATGAGGAGAGTGGCAGGCGACAACCGCGGTGTCACTCCACATCGCTTTGGCAGTTTTAGGTAGCCCTTGATGCAAGTTTTGCGAGGAAATTTACAGCTCATTTTACTTCCACCGCAGTGATGCTGTAGCACACTGTCACCAATGACGTCAGGGAGGGCGGACGGGAGGCACTCCGATTGCCCGATTAGGCAGGATCGGCAAGTGCCAACGACGTCCGACGATGTAGGCGGCAGCTTCAAGCAAGACTCTTTATTATAGTACTAATACACTAGCAACCACCCATGCAATACTGCGCGGTAGTGAGCCTCAGTCATCAGCCAGGAAAGTGTACCACGAATACATGGTTTACTTATTAACACCTCATTATTGCTTGTCTCCTCTGAAAGTCTTGGGATGGCCCTCAAATCCACATCGGGCCCAAGAGCTGTGATATGGCCCTTGTAACCTGCTATGTATCCATGGCGTAAATTGTGGGCCACATCGCAGCTAAGCTGTGATGTGGCCCTTCATTATGACGGTCCGTTTGCCCATTTAATTCCTGCCGCATATATTACAGCCTCCACATACAATGATATTCATACCTACTACCAATTGCGCGCACATAGCATAGATAACCCACACATATCGCTGATGGCCACAGCATATATTGGACATATGTGTGGTGGCACAAATATCTATGCCTTGGTCGGGCAATCAGAACTTTACGTGGCTCAAGTCCCGTACCTCTGCCATCCACAAGTATCGTCCACACTTAAAGTTGTAGTCATTCATCGAGGCGACTTCAGGTCATTCTATATTCATCCCAAGACAATAAAGATATCCTGATACAACATCACTATGTATGATATTTTAGAGTGTCGGCCAAGGGCTAGTACGAGGTTTACCAGGTGAAGGCAAGTTGGGCTTCAGTCCCCAAAATGAGCCTCCAGACGTAGTTGCCCCCGAGTCCATAACACCAGCACCAGCCATAGACGTTGACCCACTCCCGGAGGCTGTAGGTAATTCCTCAGACATGAAAAACAGGGGTGCATTGAAGTACGAGGAATGCCCAGGATCTGCCTCGAGGCCCCACCTTAACTGTAAACTCTCCATGTAAGAAATATATCCATAAAAACAGAATATAGCACTCACAGCCATCATTATCAGCCTCCACCTTCGCCTTCTTGGTGCTCAGACCCTCGACAAACTCTATATCACTATCCTCAGCATAGCTCCTCTTCCTCTTGCCACTAAGTTGCCCTGACTTCCGGGAACCCTCTTCCTTCAAGTTTTTTTCACCAATCTCCTGACCCCTCACTTTGTCCTCGTCCCCCTCACTGTTACCCATTTCCTCTCCATCCGATGAGGACAACTCACTACTTTCCAAGGCATCAGCCTCACTCATGTACATCTTGCCCTTACAGAGGATAAAACCAGACTGCGACTTGGCTCCTTTGTATGCAGGCCGGGGCTTAGGTCGAGGATGAGAGGAAGGGAGGCCTGATAGGTCCTCATTGTCAGAGACATCGAGCTCTTCATCAGTGGCAACCTCGGGGAGGCCCTGTTCAGCCAGAGTGACACCAGCGTCCCAGTCTCTCAAGACCAACTGCGGGATGTGAGGAATAGACACTACGACATGTGATTAAGCTTCCAGAAAGATCATAGTAGAATCAAAGACGTACCAAAGTGGATAATATAGTCATCAGTGTTCTTGCCCAGGCCGCCTGAACCTTGACTAAGTCCCGACCAGTGTACTCGCCACTCCTCTCAACGACAACAATCCTACGTGAGCTCTTGACACAAAGCTTCCAGTGGAATTCACCCTCCTGAGGTACGCCGTGCTGAGCATCAAGGTACCGGAAGGGCTGAGGAAGCAAACGACGGAGCCATTCATCAATGGCCTGGGAGCTCTACTCCTTGGCAAAGCTGAGAACAGATTGCCCATTGCGATCGGCAGCCAGGCCTTGCTTCTGAAATGTAGACTCATATTGACCCCTTGAAGGTGCGACGTCATTTTCGATTTCCCCATCAGCCTGAAAAAGTTGAGAGACGCTTCAACATCTGCTATCTATAGACATATCTTAATACCGCACGGCAGCAGAACAACACACCCAATTGACATAGGCCTTGACATGACTTTTGTGGCCTTCGTCGGCTGCTTGGAGTCAGAGCTATGGTCGACAAATGGGCAGAACAGCTTACCTTGTATCTTTTTTCTCCTCCGCGACTGTAGGCCTTTCCTTTTCCTTTTTGAGCAGGCCTTTGTCCAGCCCCGTCGTCTTCTTTTGGGACCTGGCGGAACCCGGTGTTGGCCTCACGACGGGCCTCATCCTCGGAGACCTGCTCAGGGAGAAGGAGACGTTCAAGACCACCTGAGGACTTCTTCATAATGCCAGCGATAGTGTTGTTGCCAAAGCCATCCCAGGTCGCTCCAGGGCATGGTAGCTCTCCTTATGAGTACAGTCACACCTCTTCTTTTTGGAGACCTTGCCATTGCTCCTCTTCTTGGGTTTCTGAAGAATAAAGCGCTGGCAAGGGCATGGTTCCCCACTAGGGGTCCGTCCATTACAGAATGGCATGAGCAGCAAGGGGGGCGGAAGGGTGAGGGCTACACGAACACAAGGTTATATGTCAGCATATTTCGGTTTTTCCGGCTACGCCTGTCAATCGTACCAGTGGATCTCTGCAACTTCAGCCTAAATTCAGTCTCGATCACTCTCAGGGGTACAGAAAAATTAAGACAATCCGCCTCTTTCTGGGACACAGTATGTGATATAATGGAACACAGATGAATGCACTGGCTGCTGCTTTTTGACCAGAGAACGTTGGGAGTGATAATAACCTAGCTTGGGATGTATGGGTTTTAGACATGTGCTTAGATTTTCGCCATCGAACATCAACGGTGTTGCGTCAGGGCCACAGGCTCAACTTGTGCACCAGCTTGGCATATGTGACATTGTGGCCATTGCCCGAGAGGTCGGCTTAGTGACCTGGCATGCCATACCTTGTGAAGGTGCAATTTGCCCCCTCGAGCAGCTTGCCGCTGGGCCTCGGTGGTCAGCGCGGTCCTCGGTGGTCAGTGAAACGAGTAGCTGCCACTCACCTGATCATGCCGATGCTCCACTGATTCCAAAAAGCACTCAGCCCCCAACACAAAACTTACCTTACAGTCGCATTGCGTGGACGTTCGGGTGAGGTGTCGGCATACGTGATGGCGCAGACGTTCGGGCGAGGTGTCAGCGTATGTGGCAGCGCAGCTGCCATATTTTGGTCTTGACAGCTTTGCAATGCCTGTGAGAGAACACAGTGTAAATGAAAAACCTGTAGATGTCAAATACATAAAACTTACCTTGCAGTCCCATTGCGCAGACGTTCGGGCAAGGCGTTGATATGCACTGACACACAACAATCACCAAGGACCAAAAGAAATAAACCTAACACCAGTGGTGTGGGTGGAGGCAGTCCAAGACAACTGAGGGGTATTTTAATAGTTCGAGGGGGAAGGAGGAGTAAGACGATGTAGGGTAGTCCGTAGGAAGACCTAGAAAAATAAAACAAACACTTTGACGCCTAAAACAAATGCTAGTTGACACTCCAGAGTATTTATCTCTGAAGGGTCGCAATCAAAGTCGCAAGCAATGACACCTGTCATAGGATCGTGCTCGCCGGGGTAGAAATTGCTAGAGAAACTTGCTTAATTTTATTTCACTATGTAGGACGCACTGGAGATAATTAAATCGATGGTGGCGATAAATCACTCGACGAGTCAGGCCTATTGGCAAAGCTAGGATCGATTATAATTCGCTAAGTTCAACACTTTCAAACTTCGAGGGTCGCTGAGATCATAATGCTAATTCTCTGAGATGGTGAAGTGCAAAACTTGTTTTTCTGTATGCTACTTTGTACAATTTATATGACAGGAATGGCTTTGCAACAGTCCGGAGATAAATAACAAATAAACGCCGCTACCCACAGGATTGCTCAGCACTTGCCTCCGTTATACCATGCACCATACAACTCCCTTGCGATCCCACTTGCTTGTCCCAGCCCCTATAGGTCGCCTTGATGCTCCGCCACCTGCCCCAAGCGAT